GGGTGCCAAAAAAGCCAGTTTTTATAATTCTGACATTTAGACTTGGGGAAAATATTAAATTGGATTTTCTTGTTTTCACTGGGACACTTACTGTGTTCTGAGTAATCTTTATAAATCCTAATTGTCTTAGTTTGTTCATAGGACACAGGGAAGTCACACAGTGTCCATTAAATATGCTAACCCTCCTGGGAATCTCTTTTCAATGTATATACTGAGTGTGCATAAGAAAGAGAATTTTGGGACTTCCCTAGTGGTCCAGTGGCCAAGACTCCAAGCTCCTAATGCCGGCAGCCCAGGTTCGATCCCTGATCAGGGACCTAGATCCCACCTACTACAACAAAACAGTCTGCATGCTGCAGTGAAGATCAGAGATCTCACATGCAGCAACTAAGACCCTGTGCAGCCAAATAAAATAAATATTTTTTATAAAAGAGAATTTCATATAACAGTTGAAACTAGATTTCACTTAATATATCGTATGAATGCAGTGACCAGCATGCAGAATTTTTAAGAACATCTAATTTTCAAATGTCAAGTTCTATTGTTGCACAATTACATCCCAGTATTTGGTTTGAAAACCATGGTCACAATGATGAAATATATACATTCTTTTACCTGAGAGGGTCCTGGCACACATCGATTGAGTAGGCACATTGATCCCACCAATGGAGCAGTTTGTTACCTTCAAAGAGATCTCAGGGCTCCAGACAGCCTCCCACTGTTGCTGCCCTTCAGGAAGTGATTCAAAGATCCTTCTCCCAACACCAACACATTACTGTTAATCTCAGATCAAATAAATATTTTTTCAGCTTTAGCTTTAGTTGAGAAGTTGGTATGTTAAAGAATGTTCTAACTGCTCTTTCTCCAACCACAACAGAAACAGAAAAAGTGCAGGACCTTCAAGCTCTGATCTGCAAAGAGTTAACATCTTAAGAGCTAAACAGAACTGTATTAACTCCTCTCTTAACAAGCCAGGAAGACAAGAGGATTCTGCAGGACTGGAGGACACCAAAACAGAGAAAATAAGAGAGAGCTCTCTAGAGGAAGCAAGAACTGTAAGTTTGTATCGAATACATGTTTACAGTAGTCTTCCATTTCTTTTCCTGGGGTTTTTGAGAGGAGTGAAAAAGGCTTTTTCATTCTGTATTGCGCCAGTCTCCCAGGCATCCAGACACAGTGTCACTGGGCTTCCCTTGTGGTTCAGATGGTAAAGAATCTGCCTGCAGCATGGGTCAGGAAGGTCCCCTGGAGAAGGGGATGGCTACTCACTCCAGTATTCTTACCTGGAGAACTCTGTATTGTGCCAGGCTGCTAGGCATCCAGACACAGTGTCACTAGGTCATCTTTAATCCTGTCACCTTCTTCACTCCATCCCACACCCAACTAGTTGGCAAGTATTTAGATTCTCCTTCCTCAGTGTTTTTGTAATCTATCCCAGTCTTCCATCTCCCTACCACCATCCTTCCTCGTTCAAGGTCACTTTCCTGAACCACAGCAATATCCAAATGCTCTTCTCTGCCAGTCTCTTTAGCGCACTTATTCCAGCTGAATCTTCCTAAAGCCTTTCCACAGTCCTAACTCTGTTGCTCTTGTGCTCAAAATGTGTAATTCCACCCATTCTCTGCAGAATGAATGTAACTCCTCTAGTTTTATGCAGGGTCTTCCAACATAGGCTTCCTTTCACTTGAATTCTCACAACTCTTTCTCAAATTTGCCTGCCTACCTGCTTCTGTCGAAGACCACCCTGCTCTTTGCCCATCCCTGACTCTATTCAATCTCTCCTCTCTCTGTATAAACCATTCTATATCTCCACCTGCAAAGTCCCTCCAGACCCCAATAATCCTCCTTCTGTAAAGCTTTATCTGATCCTTCAAGTAAATGTGAATTTCAATCTTCCTCTATACTCTCATTTTGCTCTGCTCTTCTCAGCTTGACTTCTTCTTTTTTTTTCAGATTGACTTTTTATGTTTCACCTTATAGCCAAGGATGTGCTTTTCTCATTTCTCCTCTCCTCATTAATTATTCACTTCCTAAGAGCAAGGACTTTATTTTTCTTTCCTTTCTGTAGGAAACTACATTATTTTTTATTATTATAATTGACACTGTATAGCATGATTTGAATTACATATATTGTGAAATGATTACCACAGTTTAGTAAACACCCATCATCTTATATAGACACAAAATTAAAGAAATATAAATACATTTTTCCTTGTGATGAGAACTCTTAAAATTTACTCTCTTAATCACTTTAATGTATAACATACAGCAGTGTTAATTATGTTTATCAAGTCTATTACATCCCTGGCACTTACTTATTTTAGACATGTAACTGGAAGTTTGTGTACCTTTTGACCATCTTCATCCAATTCCCATTCTGCTCACCCCCACCTCTGGTAACCACAAATCTGAGGGCTGTATTTTTTTCCCCATGTATCAACTGCACCAAACAGGCATTCAGTAACATTTGCCAAATTAAGTTCAATCCCAATTCTAGGCATTCCTGTCATCTTTTCAGAGCATTCACACAACTGACACTGAAATTAGAGCCTATACTTTTCTCCAAAGCTTCTCTTTATCTCTGCTCCAAGTTTTTTTTTCCAGGCTTACATCTCCTTTCTGTCCTCTTAAATAAGATCAGCTCATCCTGAGTTCCCTCACTCACGGTTAAATTATTTTCTCTAAGAGTTCATTCACAATTTGTCCCTTTCTTCCCCCAGATTTTCAGTTCGAAGGAGCCCAACTTTAGTGCCCCCTTTCAGGGACTTGTCTGTTTATCAGACCTGTTAAACTTCTTATGCAATGGGAAGACCTGAATTCCCAACCTATATTAAATTTAAAACAGTTAAAACATTACTTCTATATTTTAACACATAGGTCCACTTAATCCATGAATTTTTAGAGGATGGAAGAATTTTTACAACATCATTTCCTATGCTCTACTGAAATGCTGACAATCCTTTGAGGAGATTTCTCACCTGATCTTTACAGTTTTCTTCTTTTTTCTCTCTTCTGCTCAAGTAAGTGACACCATTATGGCTCTCACTTCACTGTGTTCTTAGAGATGAGAGAGAATTAATGCAAAACTTTGTAAAATTATTAAAAGCAACTCTAAAAAGGAAAACAATTTCTATCACAACCCAATATAATAGTGATACATTAGTTGAAAAAGTATGATGTATCTGCAGATACCAGGCACTCTGTTAGGAACAAAGATATCCTCAAAAGAGTTGATGGGCTAGTAAAGGATCATGTGATGTTCAAATACCATAGAGAATTAACTTATACTAACCAACATATAAGAACATTACATATATATATCATAATATAAATCATTAACTTATACTGATAAATACAATTAGAATTATCAATTGGCCAGAAACTAGTTCAGCGAAAACAACAAAAACAGCTAGCATTTAGTTAATATGGAGCCTATACTGAGGGCCAAGCATTATGCACACTTTTTATAAGCATTATTTCAGTCGACCCTAATCATAATCATATGAGATAAGTATTTCATCCTTTTTTTTTTTTTTTTTTAGCACAGGGTTTCATCCTTATTTTATAGGTAAGGAAAATAAACAGTGGTTAAGTAACTTGTCCATGGTCACACAGCAAAAGAAAGATGTGAATCATGTCTTTCTTATTCCTAGGCTTTTGACCACAGTCACTGTTTACAGTTCATTTTCTTCAACTTTAGTAAGGGGTGAGTATAAAGTCAGATTAAGCGGAGTTGGCTGTATGATTTTTATTTTTATGCCATCACACTGGTTTTATTCAGCAATCACTATGAGCGAGTTATTCTTTGCCCTCACTCACCTACCGTTGCCCCAGGGCACACTGCTACAAATTTACTTTTGTCTTTCATTCCATTGAGTGCAAAACGAGTGATAAAGTCTTCTTCTTTATATCTACTCTCCGCTCTTTTCCTCCTGAGCCGTGAGATCTGGTCACTTTGTTGGCCTTGGATGTCCCTTCACAGCCTCTCCTGAGTTTTCTTTTCTGGCATTCTGATAGCCTCCATTTCATTCTTAGAGCTTCTTTGGCCAGTTTTAGGGGTGCTCTTCAGTGGCTCCACAGTTCCACACAGCTTTGGTGGTGTATTTTGGAGTGGTCATAAACCAGGACAATCTTCTCTGGGTCCAAATAACATTAAAGAACCACAGAATCTCTTCCTCTTCTACAGCTGCATTTTTGTAAATGGCTTCAGGTGAGAGACATTCAGGTCTCTGATGTAGTCAACCCTCCTTTCCTTTTACCTTACTTTTCTACAATAGACTGGTTGAGAAAATGGGGTAATATAGCAGACATAAAAAAAGTTTTCAGTGTGAGGGTTGACTTTAAAACAAAATGGTTTCCTTGGTTGCTTCCATTTTGCCGTTATCCTAGGACTATTGTCTAACGTGAAACTTTTGGGTGATTGTCAGCTTCCTTAATATAGAAATCTATATAGATCCATTTAGAATTCTGTCATTTGAAAGATATTCTCCACTTATTGTGGTTTAAAAAATGAAACATCACAGAACAGAATATGAATGATTCAATTCAAGTTAAATTGTCTGGAAAATAAATCAACAAAATGTTAATATTTTCTCCCAGTAATAGAATTTCTCCATCATGCTTTCTACCTTCTTCTTTGCATTTCTCTGCTTGTTCAAAATAAGCTTATGAACAAGCTTATTCAGTTGACAAGTCAAGCTAGTTCCAGCAAAAAGGGGAATTGTTTTAAGGACATAATACTTTCGTGCAGAACCTAAGGGCAGGAACAGAGACAGGTGCTAGGGAAGACTAAAATCAGGGACAGGAAACTTTCAGTACCTTTTAACTCGACCATTCAGTGTTGGTCTCTCTCTTGACTTGTTTATTCGTTCACCTATTCATTCACTCAATATATATTTATTAGGTGCCTACTACATTCTAAGGACTTCCCAGGTGGTAAAGAACTCATTGCCAATGCAGGAGACAAAAGAGACGCAGGCTCAATCCCTGGGTCAGCAAGAGGGCATGGCAACCCACTCCAGTATTCTTGGCTAGACAGAGGAGCCTACATTCTAGGAGTTATTCAAGTAAGAGGTAAATAAGAGAAACCAATTTTCTGCTTTCGAAGCCCTTATGTTTCAGTAAGAGGAGGCAATAAACAAGTGTAAATAAATGAGGTGGTTTCTGGGTATGGTAAGTGTTACTAGTGAAATAAACAGGGCAACATGATAGAGGAAGTAATCACATTAGTTGCAAAGTCAGAGAAAGTCCTCTTGGCAGATGAGAAGATGCTGAGAGACTGAAGAATAAAAAGGAACTAGCCATGTGAAGAGTAAGGGATAGATCATTCCAGCCAAGTACAAACGTTCTGAGGCAAATACTATATGTATATATAGTATTTAAAGCCAGGAGATTGGATATTACAATTCAGAAAAAGAGGTTTGAAGTGACTCTGCAGATGGAATTTCCACAGTTATTTAGGCTGCAAATCAGAATATAGCCATCCCAGAAATCCCAAGTTTACCTAATAGTTCTAGTCATCCACAGAGGCTAAATTTAAGTCTCTTAGTCCCATTTCCAAATGCCTGGAAAAAGAATTTGATTGGCCCAGCTTAGGTCAGTTGTCTACCCCTGGTCTAATGAGCAATGACTATAGGAACTGGACCACAGACTATAAACCAATTACTGATGTGTTGGTCCCTATCACCAATACATCCCTATAATGGAGTAGCAAGGGGTTCAGAGGCTCATTTCATAGAGAAAGGGGGTGGTCATTGGCTTCCAGGCTGAGCAGACACTTTAAAAATGATCCAAAATGATATGGATCAATTCTATAATTGGAAAAATTGATTTCTTTCTTAATAAATAACATCATTATTACCGAATGCTTGGTTTTATCCTTTAGTGTAGAGTGATTCACATCACTACAGAAAAGACTATGCCATGTCTTACACCATCATGAAAGTGTTGAGAAATTTCTGCTACCACTTAAGTCTAGCCTGCAGAAGACACCCCCAAATTGCAAGTAATTGACTGAAGGTTTCCTTTATTTCAGTGTCCTGTGGTATCTCTCACAGCTTGGGAGATGATATGACATCTTATCTTCTGGAGGACCATACAGCAAAGGACCCGATAAGGGACATCGACTTGATACCTCTGATGATACCAGCCTCGAAAGGTAAACTTGGTGTCTGAGGATGGATGCCTTTTAGAATGAAAACAACCCTCAGCCTGTTATTGTGGGGCGTCTTGCTAGTCTTCATAGTGACTGCTTTGCTCTCAGCCGTTTTCTTCAATCTTCTCAATGTTTTCTTCATATGTTCTTATAATAAAAATTTTATTGTGTGGGTTTATGAGCACCACAAACACAGAAAGTGAAAGTGAAGTTGCTCAGTCGTGTCCGACTCTTTGCGACCCCATGGACTGTAGCCTACCAGGCTCCTCCGTCCATGGGATTCTCCAGGCAAGAATACTGGAGTGGGTTACCATTTCCTTCTCCAGGGGATCTTCCCAACACCAGGGATCAAACCCGGGTCTCCCGCATTGGAGGCAGATGCTTTAGCCTCTGAGCCACCAGGGAAACACAAACGATAAACATAAGCCAAGAACAAATGTGCGAGTCTCATTCATCTATGCATGTGATCAGCCCTTCACTCTCACTAAGCAGAGGTAGGCAATTTAAAAGAAAAGAGAGAGCACAGCCCCACTACCACTTCTTCCCCACTCACCTGAAGATATTTTTGTAACTTTGTTCACACACTCCCACTCCTCAGCCCTATTCATAGCTACTGTTAATTCCTTTTCACCTGATTTCACTTCTGTAAGTTTTATTTCAAAGATAGGGCATTTTATGCACTGCTCATGGGTGTATAAATGGTGTGATCATTTTGGAATAAAAGCTTGGCATTATCTAGTAAAACTGAATATGCAGCTTTACTTCTGGGTATAAAATGGCAGAGGTTTTCGCATAGACAAGAGACATAGATCAGAATATTTATAGCAGCATTGTTCAAAAGAGTAAAAAGTGAAAAAAAAAAGAGTAAAAATGGAAACAGCATAAATGTCCATCGATCAGAAAATGAATATACATTGATATATAGTCCTACATTGAAATAATAAATTTGCTTTAATACAACATTCAAGATAGTGGTCACTTCTGGAGGAAGAAGGGAATAGTATGGGTGAAGAACTTACAGAGGGCGCTAGTAATCTTTTGTTTCGTAAACTGGTATGTATGTTATGTGCACTTTATTATTATTATTTAAACTGTCCATATGTGTTTTATTTCACAATTTATATGTGTGAGATAGATATAATGTATATAATAATATATGTATAATAAATACTGTATATTATACATAATAGTTTTATTGGGATATAAATTAGATACTATAAAGTTCACTCTTTTTAAATGTACAGTTCCTTACTTTTTACTATATTCACAGTTTTGCATTCATCTCTACTACCTAATTTTAGAACATATAATTACCACCCCCAAAAAAAAACCCTTATAGCAGATATTCCCCATGTCCCCACTCCCTGCTCCTGATAATCACTAATCTGCTCTAAGTCTCTATGGATTTCCCTATTCTCGACATTTGCTATAAATGTTATCATACAACATATGATTTTCTGTGTCTAGCTTCTTTCACTTAACAAAATGTTTTCAAAGTTCATTCAAATTGTAGCATTTATCAATGCTTCATTCCTTTTTATTATTTTTATCACATTTTGTTTATACATTCATCAGTTGATGGACATTTGAGTTGTTTTCACTTTTTGGCTTTTATAAATAATGCTGGTATGAACATTCATATACAGGTTTTATATAAACATATGTTTTCGTTTCTCTCAGGTATATACCCAAAAGTGGGATTGCTGGGTCATATGGTAACTCTATTATTTCACGGAAGTGCCAGATTATTTGACAGCAGTTGCACATTTTTAGATCCCTACTAACAATGTATAAGAGTTCCAATTTCCTCATATCATCATATATAATACTACATGGTCCAAGATCACAATAGTTTACGTCCATATTTTCTTCTAAGAATTCTGCAGTTTTAGCTCTTACACTTAGGTCTGTGATCCATTTTTAAGTTAATGTTTAGTATGTGGTGTGTGGTAAGGATGCAACTTCATTCTTTTTGTGTGTATGTAGATTACTTTGGGTAGTATGGTCACTTTAATAATATTAATTCTTTCAATTCATGAACACAATATGTGTTTCTGTTTGTGTTGTCTTCAGTTTCTTTCATCAGTGTCTTGTACTTTTCCAAGTACTGTCTTTTACCTCCTTAGACATGTTTATTCCTAGATATTTCATTCTTCTGATACAATGGTAAATAGGATTGTTTTCTTAATTTCTCTTTCTGATAGTTTATGATTATTGTATAGAAATTCAATAAATATCTGTATATTAATTTCATATACTGCAACTTTACTGAATTCATTGATGAGCTATAGTAGTTTTCCAGTGTTTTTACAATTTTCTATGTAGAATGTTAAGTCATCTGCTAACATTAACAATTTTACTTCTTTCCCAATTTGGTTTCCCTTTATTTCTTTTTCTTCTCTGATTGCCATGGCTAGAACTTCCAAAACTATGTTGAATGAAAGTGGCAAGAGTGGACATCTTTGTTTTGTTCCTGATCTTAGAGAAAATGTTCTCAGCTTTTTACTGTTGAGTATGAGCTTTGTCATACTCAACTGTAGGTTTGTCATATATGACCATTATATGCAGGACCCTTGGGTTGGGAATCCTAATGTGGGTCTCAGACCTCTTACTCCTTTGTGAGAACCTCTACAGTGCATTCATCCTCCAGTTTGTGGGTTCCCCACCTAGAGGTGTGCCGTTCCTGCTTTCTCTCTTTGGTTGTAGGAGATCTCTCTCTTTGGTTGTAGGAGATCTTTTGTTGTTCTGCAGATAGTTGTGATTTTGGTGTGACTGTAATAGGAGGTGAGCTCAGGCCCTTTCTACTCGGCCATCTTGGCCAATCTCTGGGCGATATCTTTAAACGTCATCATTTTGAAGAATTGAGACTTCAGAACCGGAACAAAAATTCAGCAAGATTTAAAAGTGTGGTAGACTTGATGTTGACTCCCTGAGGACTGGATTAGTATATACTTCCTGCTTAGCTTTCCACTGGTCCTGAAGATGCAAATATGCAGAACTTCCAAACCATCAGGTTCAGAAGAAGGTGCCTGCAGGTTTGAAGAGAGGAGAAAGCTAGATCATAATATTTCAGTGAGAAATCTACTATGTTCCTGTTGTCCTTTAACAGTGCATAGTTGGAGATTCTGTGCTTCTTAAAGCTTTAATTGTTGCACAGATAAAGCCCATGAAACACGAACTGGCTGAGATGGTTGTCAAAGTTGGAAAAGTCATAGAACTACTGACAGAAAACCCCTGTGCAGGAAATAATTACCTAGAGAATTCAGTCAGTTTGGAGACCATCTATACAACCAAAAACCTAAAAGAACTCAATATTTCTTCAGCACAGTAAAGGGAGTATGGAAGAATGTGCCAAAGTAAAGGTTTTACACTTTTGATTTGTGGGAAAAGAAACTTTCCTAGGTATCATTACAAGAGGTGTCCAGTTTCCCTTCTGTTCTTTATATAGCTAAATAGCTAAAAGTAAATCAAATAAAGTGTTTGTTATAAATGCAAATTTTCATAAAAGATTCTGGTCATGCTACAGATTTTCTTCCTAGTGATCATACTTTCCTGTTAAGTGTCCCTAGCAATCAGCTGCATCATTTTATACTTCATTGGTTTGGAAGTTGCATTTTTTTTTTTTTCATTCCAAGCAATTTTGAATTTATCTTAGAAACTTTGCTTTGGAAGAAGAAAGAGTTTGATCACATACAAATAAAACTGTATTAATGGAATATTTTTATAGCATATATTTTAAAATTAATTTTTAAAAAGTTAATTTTAGGCACTTCCCAGGCACTTCGCCTTCCAATGCAGGGGGTGCAGGTTTAATCCCTGGTCGGGGAGCTAAGTTTGCACATGAAAAACTCATGTGCACTCACAACTGAACTCACAACTGAAAAACCGAAACATAAAACAGAAATAATTTCAATAAAGACTTTAAAAAAATGGTCCACATAAAAAAAATGCAACATATTAAAAATTAATTTTAATATTTTTCTGATATGACCAATTCCAAAAGAAAATAATAAGAGTATTTACGGTACAGTTATGCTGTACAACTAAAAATGTTGACATTATAATGTCAATCACTTCCCTGGTGGTACAGTGGATAAGAATCCACCTGCCAATGCAGGGGACACAGGTTCGATCCCTAACACAGGTCCCAGAAGATTCCACATGCAACTAAGCCCATGTACTACAACCACTGAAGCCCTCGAACCCGCCTGAGACTGAAACTACTGGGTCTGCGTCCTGCAACTACTGAAGCCTATGTGCCTAGAGCCTGTGCTCCACAACAAGAAAAGCCATCACAATGAGAAGCCTGTGTACCACAATGAAGAGTAGCTCACCACAACAAGAGAAAGCCTGCACACAGCAATGAAGACCCAGTGCAACCAAAAATAAATATACACATAAATAAATTCATTATAAAATTTAAAAGAAAAAGAATAGGACATAGTATAATATAAAAAATATTATTGGCTTGTACACTACCAGGGCTGGTGGGGTCAGAAGTTTCTGCCATTGCAAACAGGTATAAATCAGTGGGTCACTCAGCTGGCAGAAGCCAGGGTGACTCAACAGTGCCATGGATAAAGACATAGCCCACGTAGTTGAGAGACTTGTTTCATTCAAGGGTATTGAGGACAGTGGGAACTGATTTGTCACTGAGAAGAAAGATGCAAATATGGGAAGATACAAGACCAGAGTAAATCATGTGATTTTGGATTTTATATGAAGGTATCAGAGTGCCCTCATGGTTTCTAGCATATAGAAAGAGACATAGGTGTGTATGTGTGACTGTGCACATATGTGTGTATATATGCATATACTTCCTGACTCTGTCAGCTGAGAGGACATAACCATAAGAACACAAAATACCCAAATCTTTGGTTTTTAAATACCTTGTCTTGTAACAGGCACAAGAGGTTCAGGTAGGGAAAGCACAAGGTGAGCCTAGAATATCTTGGTTAGTTAGTTAGTTAGTTAGTTCAGTCGCTCAGTTGTGTCTCACTCTTTGTGACCCCATAAATTGCAACACGCCAGGCCTCCCTGTCCATCACCAACTCCCAGAGTTTACCCAAACTCATGTCCATCAAGTTGGTGATGCCTTCCAGCCATCTCATCCTCTGTCGTCCCCTTCTCCTCCTGCCCTCAATCCCTCCCAGCATCAGGGTCTTTTCCAATGAGTCAACTCTTCACATCAGGTGGCCAAAGTATTGGAGTTTCAGCTTCAGCATCAGTCCTTCCAATGAACACCCAGAACCGATCTCCTTTAGGATGGACTGGTTGGATCTCCTTGCAGTCCAAGGGACTCTTAAGAGTCTTCCCCAACACAACAGTTCAAAAGCATCAATTCTTTGGCGCTCAGCTTTCTTCACAGTCCAACTCTCACATCCATACATGACACTGGAAAAACCATAGCCTTGACTAGACGGACCTTTGTTGGCAAAGTAATGTCTCTGCTTTTTAATATGCTATCTAGGTTGGTCATAAATCTTATCGTGCCAGAAAATAAGAAAGTTCTCAAAAAATCATGGAGATATTTTTCAAGGACATCAGAATCAGCTGGAAGGGCTCACACTGGCCAAATATGGAAAAATTTGAGCATTAAAAGGAATGATATTGATGGATTATAACCCATTGAATAAAACAAATCCATAAGATCACACAGATATAAATAAACATGAATTAATAAACACATTGAAGGAACATCTTTTATAGTAGAATGCAACTAACAAGTGTAGAAGGAATAATGGAATTAAAAACTCACCATTTGGTGACCATGATAGTGGTAATTCAGGGAGGAATCATTAAACAACACTAAGGCTTGTTGGTGAAAATTTTATAATGTCATATAACATTATGCCCTAATATACAGTGTCAAATTATTTCCCCAGAAAATAATTACTAATTAATGGGTTTTAAGAAGACTTCTCAATTAACTTTATGGTGACTCAGTGGTAAAGAATCCCCGTGCCAGTGCAGGAGACATGGGTTTGATCCCTGGGTCAGAAGATGCAACCCACCCCGGTATTATGTGTCTACTGATACAATGCACTGAGAAACAGATAGCTTCAGTTCTGTGGGGTTTCTGTCCCAAATGAATAATCTGAACCCACTGTGAAGAAACATCAATCAAACCCTAACTGAGGGGCATTCTACAAAAGAAATGGCCTTTCCTCTGTACTCTTAAAATGTCAAAGTCATGAAAGACAAGGAAAGACTAGAGAACTCTTCTAGAGTGAAGGCGACTAAAGAGACATGGCAATCAAGTGAAACACATGTTCCTTAATGAAATTTGAATGGTCTATGGGTTAGATGGTAAAATAATACTGGAGCTAATTTTCTGATTTTGATGGATATACTGTATCCATCAAATATACCATGATTCTTTAGAAGTAAATGGACATCATGTCTGTAATTTACTTTTAAGTGGCTCCCAAAAGTAATACGTAGAAAATACATGTAATATTAAATATTATGTAACATAAATATATAGAAAGAGAAAGAATAGAATAAGACAAATGAAGTAAAAGTAACAGTTATGAGCTTAAATTTTAAGCTCTGGGTTTTTCTACAAGATCAGAACTGATTCTAAAGTAGTGAACACTAACACACTCATTATAGTGTACTGCAGTTTCCTCTGCTTAGATCAAGCAGAGGCTCTATTCCAAGGAAGCAGATTTGGGGACAATTTCTCCATACCACAAGAACAAATGGTGACTCCTGGTACTCAAGAAAGGTTTCTATCCTTTTCCTTATGGGGGCTCTGAAGAGTTATGGGTACAGTGATGGGTACAATCCTTGTCTAAGTCCAAATTATCTAATTATTATGAGAAGGGAAAATAAAAGAGTGGGTTAAAAATAAAAATTAAGTAGACTAAAAACTCTACTTGCTACTTTTAGAAAGATAATATACTTTCCAGACAGGAGGTTGAATCACATGCTGGAATGAAATGTAATGATTTTCCATATACAAGAGTGACGTAGAATGGGGACTTCCCTGGCAGTCCAGTGGTTAAGAATCCACACTTCCATTGCTGGGAGCGCAGGTTCAATCCCTGGTCAGGAACTACGATCCCACATGCCTTGTGACACAGACAAAAAATAAATAAAAATAAAATTAAGGAAAAAAAAAAAGAGTGACGTAGAATGACTAAGTGGTCCATTAGTGCACATTTCATATACTTCATGAATTTCCTTTTAAACACATGACTCAAAATAGATTCAAGCCCTCTGGACAAGATGCAGCCAGAGATATGATGAATTAAAAACATTACATATAAGAATAATCTCCCATTAAAAAGAATTCATTTGAATCAGTTCTAATGAGATGGATGAAACTGGAGCCCATTATACAGAGCGAAGTAAGCCAGAAAGATAAAGACCATTACAGTATACTAACACATATATATGGAATTTAGAAAGATGGTAACGATAACCCTATATGTAAAACAGAAAAAGAGACTCAGATGTATAGAACAGACTTGTGGACTCTGGGAGAAGGCGAGGGTGGGATGTTTCAAGAGAACAGCATCGAAATATGTATATTATCTCGGGTGAAACAGATCACCAGCCCAGGTTGGATGCATGAGACAAGTGCTTGGGCCTGGTGCACTGGGAGGACCCAGAGGGATCGGGTGGAGAGGGAGGTGGGAGGAGGGACCGGGATGGGGAATACATGTAAATCCATGGCTAATTCATTTCAATGTATGACAAAAACTACTGTAATGATGTAAAGTAATTAGCCTCCAACTAATAAAAATAAATGGAAAAAAAAAAAAGAATAATCTCTCTTTACTCTCTCCCGGGGCTCTAGGTAAGAATACAAAAACTCAAGCACCCTTGAGCAGGATGACTCGGGATGAATTGGAGGACAGTTTGTTTCGTCTTCGTGAAGAGCACATGTTGGTGAAGGAGCGTTTTTGGAAGCAACAAGATGAGATCAAAAGGTACCCAGAGTTCTCCTTACGTCTTTAAAAGCTGTGTCTACATCAGACCTTCACTGTAATAAATGAAAAAGAATTCATCTTCCTGAGATGTCTACACCAGAAAACAGTTCAAATGGCAAAGATGGTTAACTCCAAAAATTATTTTCAAAGCAACATTGCTTTATTTTGTTTTCTTGCCAAATGTGTCAATAGTCTGTGACCATTAGTCCATAAAGCATCATCAGAGCTACTCCAACCCTGAGAGCAAGAGACTAGGCAGGCTTCTGCCCTGGTCATAAAAGAGAGAATGGGGACAGGGGAATGGACAAAATCTCAAAAGGACTAGAGACTAGAGGGGCAAGTAAGAAAAGGGGTTTTTATTTAAAAAACAAAACTCAAAATTGCGTTGATCATTTCCTATATGCAGGCATGTAATATGTGCTTTATATGTGTTAACTCATTTAATATAATGAAAGAGGCATTATTAAGAAGGAAAGGGAGCACAAAGAGGTTAAATAACTTGCCCAAAGTCATAGCTAATGAATGGCAGAACTGAAAGCTCTTAACTCCAAAATATACCCTACACAGTGATTTTAGGGTACTGGCTTTCAAAAGTGTATCTTTTGGGTACAGATCTGGAAAGAAATCTGAGATGGAGGGTAGGTAGATAACTAGATGAAGAGAATAAGAATTCTGAAAGTCTGGGGTTAATCTCTAGGAAACATTTTAAAGATATTGGTATCACTGCCTCCCAGCCAAAGACCATTAGAAACACACCTATAGTTGGGCAAGTTTGGTTTTTTACTGTTGTAGCTAGAAAAAGTGCACACCATGGGCATCTCAGTAAGACTGTGTTAGAAAAAGTCTATCATAGGATTTGGGCTTCAGCTGGGTGATTTAGGGGAGGCTCCAAGGTAACAGAAATTTGCTCTAGACTTGGTACTGTCAGAAAGCAGGGACAATTCTGTGTTTTGACAATCTCGGTGTTTTGTAAATCTTATCTACAGGGAGGCTAGACTAGAGTGAGGCTAAAGCTGTATCTGGGAAAGCAGCAGCAGTCACTCATGTGAGCCAGGAGAGAGTATGTTTGGTATTTTGTGGGTGAGACAGTGACCTTGTTTTTGTCTGAGCTGAGACAGAAGTATGCAGCAGACTTCTTTGCTATCACTCTGTCATGGTCTCAGAGTGGCCATGTGTGATGTTGGTGTTCTGTGAGATTACATCCAAAAGCACAATAACAGGACCTAGCTGTTAATGTAGCTGTGAATGCCAGGCCACCTTCAAACAACACTGAGGACTAATCATGTCACACCACTTTCCCAGTGTCAGCAGCAGCTTTTTACTTTCTCATTGGTAACCCCCAAGAGTGGCTCAGAGTTTCATTTAGAATTTACGAGATTGCAGGTTTCTGCTGTATGCCATCACACTTCAGAGTTGGAGATTCTTTTATATTATGGAGAACTTGAGAATCCAGTGAAGTCAGATGGTTACATGGGCCAAAGAATCTTGTTTCTTGGTTGATAACCAAAAAGTACTTGAGGTTATAGATAGTAAGTGACTAAACTGGATACTGTCCCCTCTGACTTTGGGCAAGTTACCTAGCTGTTTAATGCCTTGATTTCTTTATTTGGACATAATGATGCATCATAATAATTGTTAACTCCTCCAGGACTTCCCTGTGACTCAGTGGTAAAGAATCTGCTGGCCAATGCAGGAGATGCGGGTTTGATCCCTGGGTCAGGAAGATCCCCTGGAAAAGGAAATGGCAACCCACTCCAGTATTCTTGCCTGGGAAATCCCATGGACAGAGAAGCCTGGTGGGCTATAATCCATGGGGTTGCAAAAGAATGGGACACAGTTTAGCAACTAAACAACAACCTACTGTGCTTACAGTCATCACCACTATGTCCTTTATACATATTAACTTATTTAATCCTCATAAAAATACAATGCATACATGGGTGCTAATGCCCTGCTCTTTGCAACCCTATAGACTGTGGCCTGCCAGGCTCCTCTGTCCGTGGGATTCTCCAGGCAAGAATACTGGGGTGGGTTGCCATGCCCTTTTCCAAACAATCCAATGAGGCAGTTACCTGTATTTATAGATGAGGAAACTGAATACAAATGGTTAATGACATGCCCCAGGCAATGTAGTCAATGTCAGAACTGGCAGGTGGTGGGACCACAGAATCTGATGGTAACATTTAAAAGTATGATTTCAGGTCAAGATAATAAATGATTGACTATCCATTGTAGGTAATGCTCAGGGTTCCCAGGGGGACTAATACAGGAATAATTTTTTAGAGTGAGCACATATACAGGAATGTGTGAACAGTTGGGACTGGAGAAGTAAATATTAAAATTTCTATTTATATTTAATTATCTCCTGTTAACTTAGTATTTTTGTTTCTGGTTTATAATGACCACGATGTATCAATACAGAAGACTCTACATATAATTTAAAAATAAATATACAAAATTATATATAGTGTCTTCTGTATTAATACATCATGGTCATTGGGGGCAGAAAATTAATTTTTAAGTACAGTGGACTACAGAACATAAATTTATATCAGAGATCAATTCAGATTACTTGCCACCAAATAAATCGCTGTCACAGAAGAAGGCACGATCGACCAGCTCTCCTTTTGCCCACAGGATGAAAACAGCCTTGCTCCGGTTAACCGCAGCAGGCCGGGGCCTGCGGGCCGCGGCGGCCGCGGCGGAGCCTCAGCTTTGGGAGCCCGCTAGACGGCGGCGGAACGCAGAGTGGCGGCAGCGCCCCCTGAAGCACCAGCGTCCCCCGCTGCAGGGGCTCCAGCTGCAGGTCCAGCGCGTCGGCCCCCCTGCTCCCCGCCGCACCCAGCCTCGCGTCCACGCGGGACACAGACAGCTGCACACCGCCGGGGCACCGGAGGCAGAGAAACCCAGGAGAGGTGAGGCTCGGGGCCAAATCCCCGACAGGGTCAAAACGCTGGAAGGATTGATTTGCCAGCCACGTTTTCCTCCCACTGCTGTATTCCGCCCACCACTCCCATTTTGCTCTTTTGTTCTCTTTCCTCAATCTTCCTCCCCTCCGCCCCCCGCCCCCCGCCCCCCAGTCACCCCAGAGCCCTGAGTTCCCTCAGGACCAGGAGCCGCCCCCCGCCCCCCGCCCCCCAGTAGGATGTCAGGTTCAAAATTCTCACTTCACCATGCGGTTCTACTGAGAGGAGAATCAGACAATGGAAAAGGGAAAGTTGCTGGTCAAGTTTTGTAGGGATCAGAAAACAGATAACTTTCAAGACCTGCTCAGGTGTGAGTGGCAGTGATCTTAAGACCTGCCCCTCTCCTGGGGCTATGGGACTCTGGGTAGAGTGATTTGTGCCTCTAAAATGGGGGTTCTTCATCTTTTGGGGGGGGGAAATAGACTCCTTTGAAACCATAAGCAAAAGCTAGGCCTCCTCCCAAGAAAACTGCTCATACACATAGACAAATTTTAAATACAACTGCATGGGTTCGGAGATTCCCAAAGCCCATTCCTGAAGTCCAGACCTAGAAGTCAGGCTGCTAATTGAGGAGCTGCAGTTTCTCCTCTTCCTGTATCCCAAGTGCCTAAGCATCTCTGACTGCTATGGAACCCAACATTGAATTAAATACAGTGCTGTGTGTTCCTCCTTCACCTGGCTTACTCATCCCTTTTTTAGATTCATGGAAATAGGATGTCTTGGCCCTGGGGACTCAGTGTTAGGTTTTGTTCAGCACAGTTCTATATTTTCAAGCTCCCTTCTTGAGCCAACAAAACCTTTGTGTAAACAGCTAAAAGGAGAAAAACTAAAATATTTGTTTGAAGTTCAACTCAGTTTAAAATACCAATTATAAAAAAAAAAAAAATAAAAAAAATAAAATACCAATTATATACTAGGCACTAGAAACAAAGATACATAAGAGTAGACACACAGTCCCTGCTCTTTCTTCTTCCCATTTATTCTTACTTACCAAACGGGCTATAGTCCTGCTAACTTATTAAATCAGTAGTGCAAGAGTAAAAACTGAGAACCCCTCCTCTGGGATCATTGGTCATATAAGGACTTCCCCCAGGTCTCAAGTCTCCCTACTTTCAGCACTTGGGGTTCCATTTCTAGCCAGAGTTCTGGAGAAATCTCTTGCCGGAGGCTGCATCTTCTGTCTATAAACTTTCAGAGTCAAGGGACAGGCTGAGCTACACAGCCCCTCCCACATTCAAGGAACATGTGACAAATGAAAAAGCCAGAGGTGAAGCATCCAGTGAACCCAGCGAACTGTGAGTGTTCCTCTTTTATCCTGTGCTGTTATTTTTTTCAACTTTAATTGGAAAAGCCTCATTTGGGGAACAAGTGAACCCTGCCACTTTTGAGTTGTTCCAGCATTATCAGAGAAGATGAAATTCATCCTTAGGTCAAATTCCAACTTCATTGCTTAAAACTGGAAAATAAGCACTTCTCCGTCTTCCAAGGAAAGGAAAATAAAGGCCCTTTCCTTAATGAAGGTATTCCTTCTCCCTATATTTACCCCCTTAGGTCATAATTAACTTATATTTCTGTTTGACACTGGAAAGCTACACTTTGTAAGATTATCCTCCACACATGCCTCTAATTTTTTAAAAAAATATATATGTGAGAATCTAGTTCTAAACCCCTATAACAGGGGTTTCTATTTATTCTTTTTGTGTTTAATGTTCCTAATTCTAACAGGAAAATCTCTTTTAGCAAAGTCATATAATTATGACTAAGCTCATTGGTCTATGCATGCCTAACAGTGCCCACGGTATGACCAGCGATACTATGCAAGTGGAAGAACCACCCAAGTCTCCTGAGAAAATGTGGTCCAAAGATGAAAATTTTGAACAGAGAAGCTCTTTGGAGAGTACTGAGAAGGCCACAGAGCTTCGGTAAGAGTGTGGAATTCCATGTCCCAAATGAACTGAAAAAGATTCTGCTTGGCACCTTTCACCCATCTCAGAGGAATAGAGAATGTTTGGGATTAAATTCAAGCTGAGAAGTAGACCTGGAGGCACAAATGGATTATAGAATCAATTAACTTGAAAGGGATATTTATGTATAATAAAAGTTTTGGTGCTTCGCTTTATAGAAGGAAAAATGTTTCATCCTTATCACCAGATGGGGGTTCTCAGCCCCCATTCTGCTTCAGCCCCTGGAAAGCTTAAAAAACAGACTTAGAGCAGTTTAGGTTCACAACAAAATTGAGCATAAAGTAGAGAGGTTTCCTATATATTTCCTGGTCTCACCTTCCCCTGCCTCCCCCACACACCCAAACCTCCCTTATTGTCAACATCCCACAGCAGAGGGATACATTTGTTACAGTGGATGAATCTACAGGGACACATCACAAAAATCACAGGAGTCCATAACTTACGTTATGTTTACTCTTGGTGTTGTGCATTCTGTGGGTTTGGACAAATATTTAATCCTGTGTCCATTTTTATAGTATTGCACAGAGTAGTTTCACTGCCCTAAAAATCCTCTGTGCTCTGCCTATTCATCCCTTCCTTCCCCCTTCCCCCTGGCACCACTGCCCTTTTTACTGTCCTCATAGTTTTGCCTTTCCCAGAGCTTCTTCTAGTTGGAATCATACAGTATGTTGTTTTTTTTAAATTGGCTTCTTTCACTTAGCAATGTGCATTTAAGTTTCCTCCTTTTCATGGCTTGATAGTTTATTTCTTTTTAGCACTGAATCACATTTCATTGTCTGGATGTATCACAGTTTATTTAGCTACTTACCTATTGAAGAACATCTTGGTAGCTTCCAAATTTTGACAGTTATGAGTGAAACTGTTGTGAAATCCACGTTCATGTTTCTGTATGGACATAAGTTTTAAACCTGAAGGTTTTTTAAAACCATAGATGCCTGCATCCCACCCCAGAGACTCCCTTTCAGTTAATTGGGGGTGGAGTTGAGGCAGTGTTAATGTTAAAGATTGCAACAGATGATTCTAATAACCAGCTAGGACTGGAAATCGCTGACACAGAGTCTAGGGAACCCAAATCTGCCCCCAGTGCCTTTCAAATAATAAAGAAAACATGGTCTCTTAGGTTTAGAAATAATGATCTTCCTTTGTGTCCCTGTCCATATCCACCGAGGGGAAAGGTCCTTAACTCTTTCCATTCACAGATGGTATTTTAGTACTGTCTTCTTTCTCCAGAGCTTCCATTAAAGAGAATATACAGCTGATTCGACTTAAGAAGCTCTTACATGAAAGGAATACCTCTTTGGCAGTGACAAAGGCACAATTAACAGAAGTTCAGGCCGTGAGTTGCCATCTTCAGCTGCACTTTTTTTGGGGGGGTGAAATCAATTAGTTAAGAAAATTGTGCTATTTTCTCCATTTTACACATGGGAGACCAGAAAGGAAAGAAGCTGAGTTGCTTGTCAAAAGTCACAAATCTACAGGTGATGTTCAAATCCAAGCCTAACAACTCAAGCCCTGCCCACAAAGGTGGAATTGAGTGGGGGCAACTTGTGTCAGATTAAGTTCCAAGCCAGAGACCACAACCAGAGTTTAACTAAACTTGGGAAGCCAAGAGTAGTCATAGGGGAGAGGAAGGAACCAGGTTACTGAGCACTTTCTATGTGATGGACTCTGTCCCAGGTACTTAGAGTCATCTAAGCCAGACAGCAACCGTCAAGGTAAGTTTAACAGGTAACATTGGACAGGTGAGGGAACTGAGCCACAGAGAAGTTAAATAACTTGCTCAAGTTATAAAAAAATAAGAGGAAGAGGAGAATTTGGGTCCAGGTTTATCTGGAATCAAGGCTTACACTCTTCTCACTACCATGCAATAGAAACTCATATCTGAATGGTAGAAATAGGGCATCAAGAGTCTAAATAATAAATTGGCACCATTCTTTTACTGAATAAACATTTATTGACTACCAGGAACTGTGCAAAGCACTGGATACAAAGGTTAAAAAGATAATACAGCTCCTGCCTTCAAGAAACTTGTAAAAGTGAGAAGACATGATGTAGACAAGTACAACTATCCGCAAGCAGGGTATGGGGGGAAAACAAAAGAGAGGGTCGTTGGATCCACCAGAGGATGGGCTGCAGGATCTGAAGAGGATTCATAAAGGATTCTACTCCTGAGCTGAACACTGACAGTTTAGCATGTGTTAATGAGTGTGCAAGAGAAAGAGAAGGGCTTTCCAGGGGTAGAGGGGTGTAGGCCAAGGCACAGAGGTGAGAAACATCAGGGAGCAGGTCATGGAGCTCTTAGCAGGAATTTAGACTTTATCCTATTGACAGTGGAGAGCTGCAGAAAGGTTTTAAGCAAGTTGATCATCAGTTTTTTTCCCCAAAGAGATCACTTTGCCTTTTTTTAATTATACAAAATATTTTGAAATACATTTTTAATAAAGAAATGATACTTTCAAAAAACTATTATAAAGTACTAATAATGATCAGTTCTGAGTAGTGGGATTATAGATGATTGTTATTATAGTACTTATACTTTTCTGAAATTTTGAACTTCTCCAAAATGACAAAACTACTAGGAAAGATGACCTGGGAGCAGGGTGAATGATAGGTTGGCTGGTATAAGACTGAAGGCAAAGAAATCAGCAAAAAGATGAGTGCAGTGATCCAAGGGATTCAGGATGAGGGTCCCAACCAAGGCAGTGAAAGAGGCTCACAGAGAAAGGGCTGTGTTAGAGGTCCAGATCTAGAAGAATAGACTTTCTCACCAAAGTAGAGTGGTGAGGGAAAAGGAGAAATAAGAGATAACTCCTGCATCTCTATCTTGGATGATTAAATGATGGTGGTGCCTTTCAGTGAGATTAGCTACAGTTGGTTCTGCCCTTGGTACGTCTGTTTTGATGAGGACTAAAGGCATCTTTCGGAGAAGGCAATGGCACCCCACTCCAGTACTCTTGCCTGGAAAATCCCATGGACGGAGGAGCCTGGTAGGCTGCAGTCCATGGGGTTGCGAAGAGTCAGACATGATTGAGCGACTTCACTTTCACTTTTCACTTTTATCCACTGGAGAAGGAAATGGCAACCCACTCCAGTATTCTTGCCTGGAGAATCCCAGGGACGGGGTCGCACAGAGTCGGACACGACTGAAGTGACCTAGCAGCAGCAGCAGCAGCAAAGGCATCTTTGGGGCTTACCTGATGGCTCAGTGGTAAAGAATCTGCCTGTAATGCAGGAGGCCCAGGTTTGATCCCTGAGTCAGGAAGATTCCCTGGAAGGCATGGCAACCCACTATAGTACTCTTGGTAAGAGAATCCCATACACAGAGGAGCCTGGCAGGCTGCAGTCCTTAGGGTCTCACAGAGCTGGATACAACTTAAGCAGCTTAGCACAAAGGTATCTTTACAAGGTCAACCTCCAAAACTGTATTTTGTAAGAACTGTGCATGTGCCTGTATTCTTTTGAGTTGAATAATTTTGGTAACACTGAAAGGATGGGAAATCTGGGAAGGAAGATATTTTAAAATCATATGTGTAAATAGCTGTATTTGTGGAATTATATATTTAAAAAACCCATCCATTCCTCCATTGCACTGAAGGAAAAAAGGGAGAAAGCCTTTCTAAATTGAATGTCCTTACCCATATTAGTGGTAGTGTAAAGATGACCTAAAGTGGTGAATAATTTTTTTAAATGTAGGTTTTACAGTTTGTTTTTTAAAGCAGTTTTCATTTCTAGTCATACTTTCTTACATATATACTAAGATAAGTTTTCATCCTCTTAATCTCTTAGCAGTGACATGCGGTCAGTAGTGCAGACTCTGGGGTCAGGCTGAGGTATAGCTCTCCCTCAGTCTCTTGAAAGCTGTGTGATTCTAGGCAAGTGACTTAGCTCTCTGAACTTTGGGTTTCTCATTTTTTAAGTTTAGATAACAGTACCTCTCAGATTTGCTGTAAATATTAAATAACATATGTGAAAGAATTATGATAATCATAATATAAGACATAATGAAACACACGGTAATATGTAACAGTAATTACTCCACCAATAATAGTAACTGTTGCTGTGAGTTTGGTTATTGTTGTTATTTCTGTTTCCAAAACTGTAAAGAGACCTTTCTGGGAAAAAAAAAAAGAGAGACCTTTCTGAAGCATGATGAGTAAAGAGATGGCACCTAGTTTGAAAATAAGAATACTTTTTCTTGGAAAATCCACCAAGTGCAATGCAAATTTGCATAACTGACCCTTGTAAAGAAGTGGCATGATCTATTATATTCACAGACTGCCTGGCAAGCTAAGATCAGGGGAAGGGAGCAGCAGTTAGTAAACAGGCACACAGATTGACTTGATATATGGGAAATGTTCCTAACATCTTTTAAAATAAATATTTAAGCATTTGTATTACAGAGATAAACATGAAAATAAATATCAACTTGGTATACAATAGAGTAATATCTATTTCTTTCTTTCAGGCATATGAAACTCTGCTTCATAAGGTACTTAATAAAGATTCCTTAAATCTCTGTTTCCTGGTAATCAGAGGAATGAAACCCAAATGAATCTTCATCTTCAAGTAACATAACACCAGAATTTAGCCAACTAAGTCAAACATGTAATTTTTATTAAGACAAATGATACTGTCCCTATTATCAGAAGATACATATTGCATTGTTTTCACAAAAATTAAAATATAAGTTCTGAGTTGAGAAATATTTGAAACAGTATTTTTCAGCCTATTGCTACAGAGAATTTTAGCATTTGCTCTAAAATTCCCAGGAGTAGTCCTCTAGCATGCCTGAGGTGGTGAGATATAGCAAAATTGTTGTGAACCTTCTCTGGTGATATTAAATATTTGTACCTCTGTGAGTGGGGTACAGGTGAAGCTAGGTAAATGTCCATGATTAAGAGTCACTAAGGTCGAGTTCCTTGCATGATCAGCCACAGCTGTTCCTTACCAGAAGGATCCATCAGAAAAAGGCACTTAACTTCTAGAGTTAACATGTCACTTTGCTAGGTGCACAAAGGGAAATATGTCATCATAAAAAGCATTCAAGTATCTTAGAAGATAAAAGCAATTGAGAAATGTGGCATTTTACTTAGAATTAGGGTTGAGTTTGAACTTCGGGAAAATTAAGGCTCCAGTGATGAATTAGTTTTCCAGAGTGGAAAATCCTCACCAACAGGGAAATGATACTCTCTGAGAAATGGTAGGGTGAAAAACAAGGTTATTTTACAGTGCAAAGGCACCATGCTTTAAATCAAAGCCCTTCTTTGAGACATCTGTTAGGGAATGCTGATACTGGGGTTGTTGGTTTCTTGAGACCCCTCCTGCTGAGTGTTATAAACATTGCCAGAGCAACTTTTCTTTTGCCCCAGAATCAGGGAATCCTGAGCGCAGCCCACGACGCCCTCCTCAGCCAAGTGAATGAGCTCAGGGCAGAGCTCCAGGAGGAGAGCAAGAAGGCCGTGAGCTGGAAGAGCCAAGTGGAAGATGTGTCCATCCTGCAGATAACCCTGAAGGAGGTAAATAACAGTAATGGAAAGATCCCAGCAATTGTATGTTACATCCCAATTTCAGAGATGTTAAAAAATGTATCTGAGCAAAAATATGGGTATTTTTTTTTTCAAATGAGAAAAATGAGGTTCCAAATGATTGAATAATTTGCTCAAGATTATGGTATTGTAATGGTGTAAAACTAGAAAAAACTGGGATTTATATTTACATCTGGCTTCCCTGGTGGCTTAGTGGTAAAGAATCCACCTGCCAATGCAAGAGACACAGATTTGATCCCTGGGTTGGAAAGATCCTCTGGAGAAGGAAATGGCAACCCACTCCTATTTTTCTGCCTGGGAAATCTTATGGACTGAGGAGCCTGACAGGCTACAGTCCGTGGAGTCACGAAAGAGACGAACGCGACTTCGCGACTAAAGAACTATTCTCCAAAGTCTTTTCTCTGTTATAACGTTCTGCTGTTTCCCTAACAGTAGAAACCCAGACATCATGAAAATTTAATTCGATAGTAAGCCTCCCTTCTCATTCCCTGCCACAAGCAAATATCTCTTTATTTATCAGGGTTTTTATCCTGCCCTTCCCCAAGAGCTCACAGTACAGTGTTTGTTTTCGAAGCCCCTTTTGCACAGGTTTCCAGTGACTCAGAATGCTCTACGCCTTTTCTCTTTAAGAAAGGATTAAAAATACACTCCTGCTGTGCCCTCTTCCTCCTGCCTGCGTTTATGTGGATCCCTAATCCCCAGAACCACTGTTGAGATGGATAATACTGTTTTGTAAACCCCTGGGTAACTGTCAAGTCATGATGCAGGCTCAGATTCTGTATAAAATGCAAAAGAAATGTTTTTATTAACAATAAAAAAACTTAATTCATTTTTTAAATTTTTTTAAATTTATTTTTCTTTTGTTAAAATTTTTTAAATATTTTTATTTTTATTTTTTTAAATAAAAAAAAAAACTTAATTCAGAGAATCCTCATTAATTCCAGTAACAATTTCTATTCCACCTTAAATTGCTTCAGGTCTTTCTAGTTGAATGGATCTTCATAGACATGGAGATGAACATTGAAAATCTCCCACCCTGCAACAGAAAAGGGAGAACTTGTGCAAGGCAATGGATTTTAAAATGTTATCTCAAGCGTTCTATTATCATTCTTAGTTTCAGGAGAGAGTTGAAGATTTGGAAAAAGAACGAAAATTGCTGAATGATAATTATGACAAACTCTTAGAAAAGTAAGTACCAAGTTTAGATCTCAGAACGTTGTTTGTTATAAAAGACAGTTATAGAAAAGTGCAATCTGAATTTAAACAATAATTCCTAGTCTTGATAAGGAAGGACACAGGGAAACTGTTACTCAACACAGAATATAAACTGACAGACTCTTTTAGGAAGAGAATTTGACCTTATCTATCAAAACGTTAAAGGTACATCTCTTTTGTGCCAGATAACCCATTTTTTGGAAACAAAAACTAAAGAAATCCTCTTGTGTATGTGCAAAGATACCTCTGTAGTAAGAATGTTAAATATTCCTGCATTGTTATTTTAATCTGTAAAAGTAAAAAAAAAAAATGGAAGCAATCAAAATTTCCTCTGATAGGGATTGACTACATAAATCATGTTGCACCCCACACTGAAATAGTATAAAGTTATTAGACCTATATGCCTAAGATATACTGTTAAAAGAAAATACAAATTGCAAAATAACATGTTGTGACTTAAATTATGTCATGTGTGTGGATCCACAAATTTTTAATGAGATGAAAGGACTGAAATAGGGCTTTTATTCTGTATATCTCTGTATCATTTTAATTTTTCACAACAAATATATATTCATGTATTTTTTTTTTCAATGAATTTATCTGAATTTATTAGAAAATCCTCTGTAATAGACTAAACCACCACTTTGGTATCTCAAATTGTACTACAATGTTTGTACATTAATTTTTGCAATCTATATTATAATAGTAATATTAATGCATCTTTATTCAACTTGTGACTGGATTATAGGATCCTTTTAGAAAAGTAGAATTTTTTTCCATTTTTTATGGTTAATCAAGCAATGTTTCTACTGTTTCTATCTTTTTATTTTTTATTTATTTATTTTTTTCCATTTTTATTACTTGGAGGCTAATTACTTTACACTATTGTAGTGGTTATATTCATGTATTTTGAAATTAAAAATACTGTAAGTTTTAAAAAATTAAAGATGCCTTCTGACTAACTGAAGGACAGCGGGGTATAGATTGGAGAGGTTGCATGGGAACATCCTGGGAAGAACTGACACTCTTCAATTCAGTGAAATAAGGTAGTGTCAGCCTTACCCACTTTGAAGACTCCCTATGACAAACATTACTGTTGGCCTCTTCCCTTCATTATTCATAACATTATCTTCTCAGATCATCATGTAATGTATGGGCAGAAAGTGCCAAGAAATCTCAGTACTAGCTTAAACAAGTTGTTTTTAGACCACATTTATTAAAATGATAAATAGGAAAAAGACATAAGTAGAAATAATTGCTTGATTACCAGTGTCAACTTCACTTGTATAAATAATCAGGAACTGTGTGTTTTACACTGAAGATGAGTCTGCCCTGTCATGTAGACATAGTGGTGTTCAGGAGTTTAGTTCCTGCCCTACAGTAGTAATTTACAATCTAATTCAAAGGTGAGCATTGTCCAAATGAGCCACTGGTGAAGGTAGACAGAGGAGTAAGGGAAAAAGGAAATATTCTGTTCCTTATTTCTAATCTAGCAGGCCTGAGAATGTCTTGGTACACAGTTCCTTGCCTAAAGCAAGCCTTCATGCTGGAGAAGCTCCTGGGAAATAGATAAGACTTGGGTTGTTTGCCCAGGGGGTTATTTGAGACTTAAATAGAAGTGATACTAAGCAACTCAGTAGGACCCAAAAGTTCCAAGGCAGTTGGTAAATGACAGTTACAGAGAAGGCAGGAGCAGAAAAAAACATGTAGGGAAATGAATGATGAACTAGGCCCAGGAGATGCTGAAACTGTGTAATAAAGACGTCGTATCACCCAAATTTGAGTGTCCATCTGACAACTCTCCTCTCCCTCCTTACTTGCTGCCCATTTTCAGCATGTTGGATAGCAGCAATCAGCCTCAATGGAGCCATGAGCTTGGAGAACAGCTACAGCAGAAAGTCTCTCAGTTGCAGGATCAACTGGATGTTGAGATGAAGGAGAAGAGGGAAATCTTACTTCAGCTCTCACAAGAGAAAGGTAGGTCTCTCTGAAATGAGGCATCCTCTACATCTGATAGGGGAGAAAGGAGCTTGGGCCAGCGTTTCTCCAACCCCATCTCTTGATCTTATTTGTGTGTGGGGCGGGGTACTGGATAACTAGACTAAGAACATTGGCAGTCAGATCAGATTCACAATCAAGAAAGCATGACACTTACCTCACACGTATACTTTTCCCTACATGATGACTTTCCGTGTGAGAGAATGCCACTTCTTAATTTGTAATGTTTTTAACTATTTATTGAAAGTGTTGAAAATGAATTTTTCTGCCTTCTCATCAGTCATTTTAGGATGGTTGGAAAGTATTTTGTTTTCTTTCTTTATCATCTGATATCTGAAATTGAGAAGCAGATTATTGCTCTTCGTTACCACTGGCATTTCCCCTGTCTTAATTCTTGGATCACAGTAGTTATTCTGAATATTTTTTTAACTGAATATTTTTAAATACTGTCAAAGAGACCTTTGTCTCCTCTCTTTTTGCTGGCCTGGACCTTGATATTTAGTCTTATCAAATTTATATTTCATCATATTCTAGTATATTCTCATGACAGAGTGGAGGAAAAGAAATATGACAGCAAGAAAAATAGAGGCAGGAATCATAAAAGAATAAAGCTTAGGAGCACATGCTAAGAATCCTTGTAGTATGTATGAAGTACAAGTGAGGTCTTGTGGGTAATCTAATCTAACCTCCTCTCTAATGCCTGATAATGAAATGATCACTTTAAATGGTGATCACCTTCCTTCCCTGAAACACACATAGAAATGTCCAAATGCCCAGAGTGGGTGTGGAGGAGGGTGTCACAGGGAGCCAGTAGCATAGAAGTCAGACCAAGTTGGGGAAGGACTGGGGAGATACTGTCAAAAATTTTGGACTACCTAGTCAAGTGGCTCTGATTTTTGCTGTGGTGGTGTTAGTGCTCCCTTCTATACTACAACTCTGCTGATGTTTTTTGTTGTTTTTGTAGTCCAAGTGTCAACTCAAGGTCAATAAGCTAGAACCCCTTTGTAGAAATCAGAGAAAATTACTTCTCTAAGGACAAGTTTATAAAATGAATTAAACATTAGTGGGAAAGTGTATTTCACATTTGGGCCAACTTTAGCGTGGTTGTTGGTAACACAGAGTTTCAGCTTTCTGTATTTTTTTCCCTCAGCTCAAAACAAAGATCTGGAGCTTGAACTCACCAACTTGCTTCAGAAGCATAAACAGGAAGTAGAGGATCTCCAAAATAGAAGCACATTTTCCCAATCTCCTGACAGGCAATCTGCACCAGCCACTCACCCAGCTCTATTTCAAGAGACCACTCAGATAAAGGTAAGAGCATCTTTAATCAAGCAAGTCTTCTCTACAGAGGGATCCCTGGCAAATATCCGCTGAAAAGATGAAGGGACTAGAAAACTCACTGAATAACATTTTGTCCTGACTGAGGACACTGTTTGGAAGGGTATGAGAAGGTTGAGGGTAGAGACAGCCTCATGAACTGCACAGACTTTTCCCACACTGTACAGCTCATAAGCTTTAGAATCTTTTCCAGATGAGGACTTGCAATGATCTGCTGAAGAGCAAACATCCATTGGAGGTTATATAACTTACTCACTGCTTCTGTTGAACATGAGTAACTAGGGCAGAGAGCCTTGTGAAGTAACACAGGTTCTCTTCTACATTTTGAAATAGATTCTACTGCTGGTACTTTATGATTACCAGCCGCTACTTTAGATAATAGTTATTACTATACTACCATATTTATACTCTGTTTTACCAATGCTTTTTCCCCTGTAGCCCTGTGAACCAAAAAATCAGGAAGAAAAAAAACTGTCCCAGATGTTAAGTGAGTTGCAAGTATCGCATGCAGAGACCACATTGGAACTAGAAAAGACCAGAGACATGCTTATTCTGCAGCGCAAAATCAACGTGTGTTATCAGGTACAAGGAAAGATGGTGCAGGAAGGGGATAGATAAATGGGCACACAGGAACCACACACAAAACTGGGAATGAAGCAAGACCTGAGTTTCCAGGGCTGGTGCAAGGTGATACGCTGTCCTGTGCAAACACAAATGTGCTGTCTTTTGAACTTGAGGGCTCACACAGGCCCATGGCACCTTGGCAATAGCAGCCAAAGGGGCCAGCTAATGAAAATGGCAAGTGGGAAGCTTCTGGGTTCAAATTTTGCCAGTCCCAAGAAAAATACTACCCCTTGGCACTAACAGCGCAACTGGTCCTGGAGAGGTCTATAAGGAACCCAAGCCTTTTCCTAGGGGATGAATCTGCCCTGCTTAGGAGGTAGTAGCGTCTCCTTTACCCACAAGTGCCACCTTTTTATCTGGGCCCATCAGTTCTGGGCCACTGAGCTAGCAAAGTTCAGACATTATTTCATTTCAGGAGGAACTGGAAGCAATGATGACAAAAGCTGATAATGAAAATAAAGATCACGAAGAAAAACTGGAGAGGTTGAATAAACTCCTAGACCTCAAGAACAAGCGTATCAATCAGCTGGAAGGTATTTTAAGAAGCCATGGCCTTCCAGTATCCGGCAAGTCTTAGTAGTTTGTTCACTTCACCTTAGGATCTGTCACACAGCTAAATGCCTTTGCACCTGTCGAGAGGGCCCCCTCTGTGTCTCGGTATATGACTTAGCCCTCCTGTTCTTTATCCTGTCATCTTTGTTATTTTAATACATGGCCAGCACCTTCTTTTCCTGCATCATATCAGAGTATTTTCTCTGATTTCTCTGGAGATTTTCAACAGGGCCCAGAAATTGCTGAATCTACTCTGAAAATCAGAATGTATCACTGTTGGTCCTAAGGTGAGTGAGGGCCTTCTCTCAAGATTGTTTCTTGAGGTCAGGCCTAGATGACAGTGTTTGTGAGATAATAGAGCTTCATCACTCCTCTCTCATCATCTTTTTCTTTGATTTCTCTCTGAAAGTTCCTAAATTCTTTGTTGCAGTTTGTGGATGTCTACAAAGCAGTGTAGGTGGCTGGACACTTAGGCAAATTTTATAATGTGATACTTTCTATGTTTAGTTCAGTTTACTGGCAACCAGGATCTGGTCTCCAGCCTTACATGGTGAGAAAATTGGCTTTGTTATTACACTCAGTGGTGAGATACCTGACTCATATTAACCAAATGCACTAAAGACTGAGATTTATACCAGAATGTTAATTTGTTATTCTAGGATAGTGGCTTTTTCACGGCTGCCTTGAGAATATGCTCAGGGCAACTTTTTTCTGGGAAAGCAGAATCAATAAGGATACAGAGTGAGCATGAAACTAGAGTAAAGGGAGGTGGGTCATTCAGCATGATTTATGTACACCAGTGCAAGTCTGTTAAAAGGTCCCTGCAAAGTAACAAAGGAAATCCTTTGGATTGAAATTCTCCTGTCTTTCATATTCAGGGCCTTTCTCCCAGGATAGTGCAGTGTAATACCCTTACCTACTTCTGAAGATTCATTTGCTTTAACTTATAGTTCCTTCATTACTGATAAGGCTAAAGAGTTTTACATTTGTTTACCAGTTATTTGTATTACTTCTTCTGATACTTGCCTGTTCCTGCCCTTAACCCTTTTCTTAATAGTGTATTATTAATTTTTAGGAGCTCTTTATATGCTAGAATTATTAATTTTGTATCATGTAATGCAAATTTTTAATGTTTTCTTTAGTTATATTAATCTTATCAATTAAGAAACTGCTCACCAATGCCTGTATTCCACTTCTTCTGGGCAGGAAGACATTCTGATGTACCCAAAATATCTTTCTTCTACTACTTTAACTCTTAAATAGGACCTTTGTCATCAACACACTGTGACAACTCAGATACTCCAATTTGAAGCAGACTATATATCATCTCAGGTTGGTTGGATATGGGAGGTAACGCACAGATTTAGTGGACTGTCTTACATATCTTTATTTTACATGCCATTGCCAATATTTTAAACCTCTTTCCAGTAAGTGCCCTCCCTGATTTTTACTCTATTACTCTTTGATTTAAAATGGATTTTTTGGCCTTCTTACAATGAAATCAAATTCTTAACAGAATGAAGAGTCTTGTGATTGATCTGACTGGAAAAGAGGAATCATATCTTAATGGAGCCCAGTGTAATGTAATAGACACTGACTGTAACTTGCTATTCTCTCCAGGGCCAATATCCCAAACTTTTGGGAATATCTACATTTTGTGTTTCTTGTGCTTCTGTAATGAAATTATCAATTAATTCATAGGATCCTGCTCTAAGCCAAAACAATGTTATCTATGGATGAAATTGTGCCTCCAGTGTTAGCAGTGTAACCTCCTGAGGTTAACATTTACTTTCCAATTTACTTAAAATAGGCATTGGATTATTTGGCCATCAGAATCCAAAGCACCAGGTTGTCATTCTGTGGCTTTTCTTTAAAGTCACATGGTTTCCTGAAATAGTCACAACCTGGACTTCCACGGTGGTTTTTATTCTCTTCCTACCTTCCTTTGCCTTAAGGAAGAAACTTCCTGCCCTTTAATGGATAGGCAGTTTTCTTTCCCCTGTAGAACAGCTTAAAGACGTGGCTTATGGCACCCGACACTTGCCATTTTGTCTGAAGCCACTGCCAGCCCGTGAAGATGAGGATAAAGTGGACATTTCTCCACGGCATCAGGGTGAGACCCTTTTTGAACTGCACGTCCATCAGGCTTTTCTGACCTCTGCTGCCCTGGCTCAGGCTGGAGACGCTCAACCTACCACTTTCTGCACCTATTCCTTCTATGACTTTGAAACCCACTGTACCCCACTAGTTGTGGGGCCACAGCCTCTCTATGACTTCACCTCCCAGTATGTGGTGGAGACAGACCCCCTCTTCTTGCACTACCTTCAAGGGGCTTCAGCCCAGCTTGAGCTACACCAGGCAATAGCCAGCGAGCACCACACCCTTGCAGCTGGATGGATTTGCTTTGACAGGGTTCTAGAGACTGTAGAGAGAGTCCACGGCTCTGCCACACTTACTGGTAAGTGCTGTTAGCCTCCCGCAGTTCCCAGGCTTAATGTGGCATTTCCCAAAGTGTATAGTTGATCTGCTGGTGGTTTCCCATTTTCTTCTCCGTTTATTCTTGATCCTTGCCACACTGTCTGTATCCTCTATGCCTCTCATACTTTCTGCTACCCAGGAACTGGTGGAGAAGTCTTTGGGGTGCTAGAGTACTGGATGAGGCTGCGCTTCCCCATAAGATCCAGTCTACAAGCCTACAATAAGCGAAAGAAAGCCCAGGCATACTTGGCAGCCAATGCGCTTGGAGCCTGGGAAGCCCAGGATGAGGTGAGAAAAAGGGTGAACCCATGCAGAGGACACTCAGTCAAACAGCTCTTGAGAACAGCTCAGTCTTCCACTCTCCATAAGTACTTGTTGAATGTGAATGAAAGACAAAAGCTGTCACACCACAACTAGTCTATATCCTTCCCTTGGTCAAGCTTGAGTTTGAAATGAAATCATGCCCTTGGAGCTAGCTATATCTCCTTTCTATAAACAAAATGGCTTCTCTGTTCCACTCTCTTAAAATGAGGCCTGAGCGCCAGCATCTCCCCAAGAGAGTTATCTGCCAGAGCCAGTTTGAAGGCAGGTGAAAGGCATCTCTGTTTTCCCAGTCAGAATTCGGCAGTTCTTTAGGTCATAGCTTTTCCTCATCAAGGGTTCTAGGCTTCACGTGCAATGCGTCTCTCAGCCTGCCCTTTGCCTCAATCCAAGACCAACATCTTTTCAGTCCAGATCGGGGACCTGGAAGAATCAGAATGAGCTGCGGGTGGAAATCATCCGATGCTGTGGCCTCCAGAGCCGATCGCTGGGAGCCCAACCCAGTCCTTACGTCATGTATCGCTTCTTTACCTTTTCTGACCATGACACCCCTGTCATTCCGGCCAGTAACAATCCCTGCTTCAGAGACCTGGCTCGATTCCCAGTGCTTGTGAGTTCTGACCTGGATCAGTATCTGAGGCGGGAGGCCCTCTCTGTGTACGTTTTTGATGATGAAGACCCAGAGCCTGACTTGTACCTTGGCCGAGTCCAAGTGCCCTTGCTTCCTCTTGCACAAAACAAATCCATTCAAGGTGGGAGTTCAAGATTATTACATCTTTATGCTCTCTGCCCAGTGTTGTCTCCCTGTCCTAATTCTAGTTTTCTTGCTTGGAATAGTCTCTCTTAAAACTCGCTGAAAGGATTTGAGAGTACTGTGAAGAGCAGCAGAATAGAAGACTTAGAGACTCACTAATCATATGGAAACACTGGCTTCTGCTGCTGCTCTTCAGCAACAGAAGGAAATTCCCGAGTGGGTAGACCCACCACTCTGCAGTCCATACCTCTATGTCTGAACCAACATTTTCCATCTCTGTAGTGCTTTCCAGTATTTGTTTTTACTTAAGGTCTATTATTTCTTGGCACGTGGCTAGATATCAGATTTTAAGTTGTGTCTGTAACATTTCACTGTAATTCTCTTGGTGCTTTTAAATATTAAATCCAAATGAGTTTTCCATGCTACACCATGACAAATTTCTTGGATTCTCCCCCAGCCCCAGTATGAAGCTGAACTTCATGCTACCTTATCCTACATTCATACCCAAGGTTGTGAAGGTTGTACAAGAAGGGTCAACTCTCTGATTGCAGTCTGTGCTCTCATTAGGAAGTGTGGATGGTTATAGCTAGTACTGACCATATTAATAAAGCTTTATTCCAGGAAGTATGTGAGGCCTCCCTTCTCCCAATACCACGAGTGCTTAAAAAGCATAAGAAAAGAAGGTGACTCTTCTGTTCACAACTCATCCTTTGCCAAAGAGAGGCAATATGAGCCATCTGTTAAATTAATCAGTGTTACAAAGCAGAAGTCTGACATTCAGAAAAAAAACCATTTTGCTTAAGTCTTCTTGGCTTTTGTTATTTCAGAAATAGGGGCCATGGGTGTAGATAATGGTTTTCTTAGTATGCCTAAGATGTAGAAACTGTTTGGTAATTGTAGAATGTGCTTTTGTTTACTGATTGGGTGACTGACGACAAGCAAGCTATATCTCTCCATACATCTTTGACTATCCCTTCCTGAACCTGGAGGTACCAATCTTCCCCAATAAATATTTTGAGTAGCAGAAGTAAATATTCTGAGTGATTATGGATATTCACTGATATTTTATGTTGCTTCTGAGTGTATTGTCATCATGGTTATTTGATTGATGTTAATTACAAACAAAATGTGAAATTTAAACTGGGGAAGTCATAGGTAAGGTTGTGATAAATGCTCATGTACCTACTTTCATGTGATCAGATTTTATTAATGTCTGTGTGTCTCTCAGGTAATTTTAACCTCACTAACCCTGTGGGGGAACCCAATGGATCTGTTCAGGTGCAACTGGATTGGGGGTCTTGCTACCTACCCCCGGAGAGCTTCCCAAAGCCAGAAGCTCAGAGTGAGGAGGACACCAGGGATGCTTTAGAGACGTCAGTAGAAGAAGAGGCTTCCTTTCCTCCCCAGGTAGCAGTTCTCCCCCCAATCCAGTGGGTAAAGTTTGATTTGAGGAAGACAGTATTAAAACTGGGGTAAAAGAAATTCCTTGGTGAATGCCATGCGTGTGTGCAAAGTCGCTTCAGTTGTATCTGACTCTGCGACCCTTGGGCTGTAGCCCTCCAGGCTCCTCTGACCATGGGATTCTCCAGGCAAGCATACTGAAGTGGGTTGCTGTGCCCTCCTCCAGGGGATCTTACGGACCCAGGGATCGAACCGGCGGTTCTTATGGCTCCTGCATTGGCAGGCGGGTTCTTTACCACTAGCACCACCTGAGAAGCCCGTAAATGTCATGTTCTGCAGATTTAATCTGCAGCATTCATAATGCCATAAGGCTATGGATGGAACAAAATCCTGGGTTCTATTGTAGGGAGGGAAGAGATGGCATATCTCCACTCCATGGCAAGAGATAAATGAAGTCTAAAATCCTGGGTTCTATTGTANCATAATGCCATAAGGCTATGGATGGAACAAAATCCTGGGTTCTATTGTAGGGAGGGAAGAGATGGCATATCTCCACTCCATGGCAAGAGATAAATGAAGTCTAAAATCCTGGGTTCTATTGTAGGGAGGGAAGAGATGGCATATCTCCGCTCCATGGCAAGAGATAAATGAAGTCTAATACTGGCTCACAAATCTCTTTCTTGATTATCATGGCTTTTAAACTCATCTTGTACATCTGTCTCTGATCCTTCTATTTAGGACCAGGTGGTATCTCTTGATATTCCCACTGAAGCTGGCCAGTATCAAGCTAAAAGAAAACCTCCTCAGGTGGGAGAAAGGAAGGAAAGGGAACACCAGGTTGCAGGCTACTCAAGAAGAAAACATGGCAGAAAAACAGGCATCCAAGGAAAAAACAGAATGGAGTATCTTAGTCATAACCTCTTAAATGGAAATACACTACAGGTAAGGCCTTAGAAACCCCGAAGATCGAAAGTATGTGTTGTAGTGTCCCCAAGTATATTACTCTCAGAGGTAGAAGCAGAAGCAGGCACACAAGATAAGTGATAATCACGGCTTTTTGGGGTGAGCATGTATTTCCACAAACATAAGTAGTTTAATAAACCTCTGGAGTGTTCAGTTCTTTTCAGTGTAATTTAACAGATTATACACTCTGCAGTTTATGCTTAGAGATATAGTACCACAGTCCTAACTAGGTCACTTCAACTGTAACCAAAATAAACTAAAAGACAACTATTTATTAAACACCTATGTGTTTGATTCTACCTCTTCTTCATAGGAAACTGAATTAAAGTTACTATGTAGTCTGAAATATATATACACGTACATATATGAGGTTCTAAATATATATTACTGATTATATACACTTATTTATATTGTATTATAATTATGCAATATTAAACATTAGATTATTATAATTATACAGTATACTTATTTACAATTATAATTGTATCTGAAGCAGGTGAAGTACGTTGAATGGAAATTCTCAGGGCTTAAGATCTCCACAGATCATGGTTTAAAAAATCAGCAAAAGGAAGAGGAAATGACATCATCCTATTCACAGATACTGAAGGAAACCCCACATCCTGTGAATGGTATTGTCTTTTTAAAATATGATTTTCCTTTGTAATCTTTGGATTATTTTATAAAGCTGGTTATTTACTTTCTTCTTTCATCTTCATTGCTAAACTTTTCATGATAGTTTTGGAGACCCTAGGCTCAGCACACAGTTACAAGTGTGCTGGTTAGGCCAGCCAAGCAGTCACTCTCAAAGAAAGTAGCTGTCTATATATTTAAAGCTAGCTAGCCAGTTTAACTGGCTTCCCAGGTGGCTCAGTGACAAAGAATCCACCTGCCAAGTAGGAGACGTGGGTACACTCCCTGGAAAAGGAAATGGTAACCTGCTCCAGTTTGCTTGCCTGGGAAATCCCATGGACTACAGTCCATGGGGTCACAAAAGAGTTGGACATAACTTAGAGACTAAACAACAACAGCAAGCCAGTTTAGCTAACTAGCAAGTATAAAACGTTAACTCACTCGAGTTTTGTATATGGTTACAAAGAAATAGGAGAAGGGTGATCGGTTCATTTGTGATTTAAATCCAAATTTCTTTTAAAATAAAGCAAGGCTTTTGGGTTACACAGAAAAGAAGATTATGATTTCAGGTTATAATTATGCAAACTAGGTAATTCAGACCAACTTTCCCATTGATGACACCTGAAAAGTCAAAGTTAATATATTTTTTCAGACTTCCCTGTTGGCCCAGTGTTTAGGAATCTGCCTGCCAGTGCAAGGGACATGGGTTCAGTCCCTGTTTCAGGAAGATTCCACATGCTATGGGGCAACCAAGCCCATGTAGCACAACTGCTGAAGCCCGAGTACCCTCGAGCCCTTGCTCTGCAACGAGACAAGCCACTGCACTGAGAAGCCCACGCTCTCACAACTAGAGAATAGCTCCCACTCACCACAGCTAGAGAAAGCCCACATGCAGCAACGAAGATCCAGCAACCGCCAAAAACTATAAATAAATTTTTTAAAAACATAAAAAGTTGAAGTTAATATATTTTTTAAAAATTTTAATGTTTCTTAAAAGCATTAAAGGGCCAATAGTTAGGGAGGGAGGAATCACTTAGCCTTGATCAGGGAGATGATTGGAGCTCAGAGAGGTGAGCTGGAATTAATACTCCAGCCCTGAGACATTGCTGGTCTGGAGGAAGCAGTGGAGAGACAGAACTGTGCTTTTGGTGGACTTTTGGGGTGGAGAAACAGGATACAGTCTGAATCTCGTTTCTGTCCAGCATAGGCACGTGTCTTCTCAGAGCAGAATTCCCCATTCTGGTCTTGCACCCTGATGGCAGCACTTTCTGAGTCTTTTATCCTCTGAAAGGCAGGACTGTGCTTTGTGTACTTTTAGGCTAGAGAGGCAAGAGCTGACCTGAAGGCCACCAAATGCTGGAGTTATCAGACACAACCTTCATAACAACTATGCTTACTACCTTCATGAAGATGAACGATGAACATTAAAATTTTAGTAAGGACCTAGGACTGTGAAAATTGATATTTTAAACTTTTTAACAGTTTTAAAATAATTTCAAACTAATATAAGAGCTCCATGAATAAGACAAAAAAGTTCACATAAATCCCTTTGTGCAAATTCACCAGCTTTTAACCCTTCTTCACATTTTGCTTTATCAGTTTTTTCTTGGAGCAGTTTAGAATAATCTGCAAACATCATGTCCCTTTACTGCTATATATTTCAGCTAGAAAAAGGATGTTATATAACCAGAGTACAATGATCAAGTTTACAAGCTTGACAGGGGTGCGTTATTACCGAATATCCAGTCCATTTGTCAGTTGTCTCAATAATGTTCATTATAGCAGGCTGCCCCCCCTTCCCCCCTTTAATCTGAGATCTTACATTGCATTCAGTGATGTCTCCTTAGTATCCCTTAATCTGAAACAACCTCTTTCCTTTGTCTTTCATGATACTGACATTTTTTAAGTGTATAGGTGAGCTGTTCTGTGGAGTATGCCTTAATTTGGATTTGTCTGAAGTTCCTTTATTAGATTCAGGTTATGAATTTTTTTTTACGGGGATACCACAGAAGTGATATTCTATCCTTTTCCCTGCATCACGTTAGAAGGTCGGTGATGTCAGTTTGTGCCATTATTGGTGATGTTAACTTTGATCACTTGGCTAAGAAAGCATTTTGTCACATGTTTTCATCATAAAGTTATCATTTCCTCCTTGGTAGTTACTAAGTAATCCATGAGAAGGTATTTTGAGTCCATATAAATATTCATCAGATTTCACCTGATAATTTTGGCATTCATTTATGTGGATTTTTTTGCCTGAATCAAATTACAAGATGTTTGCAAAATATATTGCAAATTTGAAAATGAATCAATAGAAATGATAGAAGAGCTAAATACAGAAATTTATCAGGAAAAGAGATGGGTTGAAAGCAGATTAGAGAGAACTAAAATGAGAATTGGTGAAAATATCCAGAATAAAATGTGACACGACAAGATGGAAAATACTACAGAGGAGAAGAGAGAGAAAGTGAGGTCTAAGCTGTACTTAGGTCTTCCCCAAGAGGTCAGTGGTAAAGTCACCTACAAAGAAGGAGACGCAGATTAAATCCCTGAGTGGGGAAGATCCCCTGGAGGAGGGCAAGGCAACCCACTCCAGTATTCTCGCCTGGCAAATCCCTGAAAGGAGAGCCTGGCAGGCTACAATCCATAGGGTTACAAAGAGACAGGCATGACTGAAGTGACAGCATGCACGCATGCAAGCTGTACTTAAATGGAAAAGAGAAAGAAGGGGGAACAAAGGCAATAAAGTGGGGATGACTTGGAGTTTTCCAGAATTCATAAAAGGTATTAATATTCAATGAAATGAAACTCAAGTAGGATAAGTAAAAATCAAAATCTAAACAGAGTAAGATTGTGGAAAATAAAATCAAAGAGAAAATACCAAAAGAATCCATTTAAAAAAAAAACAGTCATGGGTGCACTGTTGGTAAGGACAATAACATCAAGAATGACAACCATAGTCCCGCTTCTTATATTTGCTTTTATATTTAGGTGCTCCTATTTGTATTTAGGTGCATAAAGTGAAAGGAAAGTGAGGTCTCTCAGTCGTATCTGACTCTTTGCGACCCCGTGGACTGTAGCCTACAAGGTTCCTCCATCCATGGAATTTTCCAGGCAAGAGTACTGGAGTGGGTTGCCATTTCCTTCTCTAGGGGATCTTCCCGACCCAGGGATTGAACCCGGGTCTACCGCATTGCAGACAGACACTTTACCATCTGAGCCACATATCATTACAATTGTTATATCTTCTTGGATTGATCACTTAATCATTATGTAGTTAATCTTTGTCTCTTGTAACAGTCCTTATTTTAAAATTTATTTTGTCTTATGTGAGTATTGCTACTCCAACTTTCTTTTCTTTGTTTTAATATTTATTTATTTGGCTGCAGTGGATCTCAGTTGTAGCATGCAGGATCTTTAGTTGCAGCATGCGAACTCTTAGTTTCAACATATAGGATTTAGGTCCCTGACTAGATGGAAGTCAGGCCTCTGCATTGGGAGCACAGAGTCTTAACCACTGGACCACCAGGGAAGTCCCAACTCCAGCTTTTGTTTGATTTCCATTTCCATGGAATACTTTTTTCCATTCTGATGGAAAGACATTGGAATGGAAAGACACATACCATTCCAATCTGTATGTGTGTCTCTAGATCTGAAGTGGGTCTCTTGTAGGCAGCATATATATATGGGTCTTATTTTTGTATACATTCAGTCTTTTGGTTGGAGGCTTCAATCTATTTACTTTTTAAGTAATTGATTTGTAGTTATTGCTATTTTGTTCATTACTTGGGGGTTGTTTTAGAGCCTTTTTTTCTTTTTTTTGTTCTCTTCTTGTGATTGAATTAATATATTTAGTGTTATGTTTGGATTTCTTTTTCTTTCTTGTGCTTCTATCTATTATAGATTTCTGATTTGTGGTTACAGTGAGGTTTTTGTATAGCAATGTGTGTGTGTGTGTGTGTGTGTGTGTGTGTGTGTTATTGTTTTAAGTTGCTCATCTCTTAATTTCAAATGTATTTGTTCTCTCCTCCTCTTACAATTACTGTTTTAGATATCATATTTTACATCAAATTGTTTTATATATCCCTTAACTGCCTCGTTGTTCAGTTGCTAAGTTGTGTCTGACTCTCTGCAACCCCATGGACTGCAACCCCAAGCACACCAGGCTTCTCTGTCCTTCACTATCTCCTGGAGTTTGCTCAAACTCATGTCCATTGAGTTGGTGATGCCATTCAATCATCTCATCCTTGTTCACCCTCTTCTCCTCCTGCCCTCAATCTTTCCCAGCATTGGGGTCTTTTCCAATGAATCTTGATTTCCTTTAGGTTTGGCTCGTTTGATCTCCTTGCTGTGCAAGGGGCTCTCAGGAGTCTTCTCCAGCACCAGAGTTAGAAAGCACCAATTCTTCGGTGCTCAGCCTTCTTTATGGCCCAACTCTCACATCCATACATGACTACTGGAAAAATCATAGATTTGATTAGACAGACCTTTGTTGGCAAAGTGATGTCTCTGCTTTTTAATATGCTGTCTAGGTTTGTCATAGGTTTTCTTCCAAGGAGCAAGTGTCTTTTAATTTCATGGCTGCAGTCACCACCTGCAATGATTTTGGAGGCCAAGAAAATAAAATCTGCCATTGTTTCTATTTTTTTGCCATCTATTTGCCATGGAGTGATAGGGCCAGATGTCATGATCTTCATTTTTTGAATGTTGTTTTAAACCAGCTTTTTCGATCTCCTCTTTTACCTTCATCAGAAGAGTCTTTAGTTCCTCTTCACTTTCTGCCATTAGGGTGGTGTCATCTGTATATCTGAGGTTGTTGATATTTCTTGTGGCAATTTTAATTCCAGCTTGTGATTCACCCAGCCTGGCATTGCGCATTATGTACTCTGAATGTAAGTTAAATAAGCAGGCTGACAATATCAGTCTCGACGTATTCCTTTCCCAATTGTGGGTATATATGATTTTACTACTTCTGTCTTTTAACCTTCCTACTAGTTTT